AGGGAGGGCGGTCTTGAGCTGCGTCGCGGCAAAGAACCTAGGTAGGAAGTTAGTCAGTGGAAGTCTGGGGTTCATCTTCTTCCGTACCGACCGGGACATGCGTGGCGTCCGTGCCCGTAGACGACGTGGTTTGGACCTGTGGTGACCATGTGCTGACATTGGGTTTCCTGGCTCGGGCGGAAACGAGCATGTTCCTCGCGCATTCGCGAAAAGCGGAAGCCATCGAAGATTTCAGGGCTCGGATACACGGCTTTGGAACGTCAGTATAATTTCGAAACCGGGAGGGTTATGTTCAAGACCTGGGTCAGAATTGACGTTATTCCCGGGGACAGTCAAGAAAGAGCCGTAGGGTATGGTCGTTCCATCGGAGAAGTTTGAAACCTTCATTCGCTACCACCTGACGTGCTATTCCAACTGGAACATACAAGAGACAGTTATGCCGAGTAAAAGAAGATGAAAGGGAAGCGGCCTACTTGGTCCGCTCGCACTCAAGTCGCTGCGACTCGCGAAGGAAACTATCAATTCTATGCATGTCGCTCACAGATCTTCTTGTCCACCCCTGTTCGGCCACCACACGCTCTGCCTCTTCGCGCATTGGGAGCATATATTCTGGGTATTTTGCAAGGTCGTAGAGCGCAGCTGTCATTGACTGGTGGATTTTCAGATGTTTTGGCGTCGGAGAGTAGGGCAGAAATACCATCCATGTGCTGTTTGCTGCCAGGTTAAGCGTAAGAATGCGCCTTACGAGTGCCTCGACGGTGCGGTCATATCCCTCGGCAAAGTCGAGCAGCCACGATACGAGGTCGTTCTTTGCGTACAATCCATCAATCCCGAAAACCCAACCAAAAAGTTAATGACACGAACCGGGCGATCCGACCACTCCCGACCAGCAACACGTTCAATTTTCCAAGCCGTTTTTTCAACTACGGTCCCAGAAACGCCATTGCGCGGCGAACAGCGCTCTTGCGGGATGTGATCAGCGAGCGATCAACCTGTGGATGAGCACACATCGTGGAGACAGGAAGTATGAGTGGCTCACGGATTGAGGAAGTGAGGGCGGATGCGGAGTATCTGCGAGGCTGCGAAAATCCGGATGCTGTGGTTGTTAGTGATACCCAAGTATGCCGGGTCTCTGCCTGAGTATGGAATGTGTCGCCTTGGGGGAGAAAAAAGATATGAGCAACTCACAAAGCGGAAGGCCAACGAAGACACGACTGGTACTGCGTGAGATGATTTGTATGACATTTGGAACCACAGAGATGAATTTCCAATCTCAATAAGTCGACGATGAACAATCTGCCTCCAGCATCATATTGAACACCCCCATACCGTGATTCTGAAGCGCCAGCGATTCATCAAATGGCTGTACGAGTTCATCATGCATTTGTGGGAAATACTGGCTTATGTTTCGCAGCCCCACCGGATCGCCGGGGTATGGTACGGGTTTCCGTGACGTCCCGTCCAACTGTCCAGTCTGTTTGAAAGGACCTGGGAACAACGTGTGAAATATCCCGAGATAAATAAGCAATGCCTTACCTCGGCGAGGCCGGCATCGAAGGAAATTAAGTGCTCCGGTGGCAGATGCAATTTCCGAGATGTGCTTCTTCGTAGAAATAAGGTTTGTCCACCGGAAGAGTGCAGGCAGTCGAAATATCCCGTTGCCGCGCTGGACGTACGCCTCATGGAGCATCTTGGTTCCATAGAACTGTAGTTTCAGTGCAGTCCGGGAGGACGAGAGGATGTTCGTTGTTCCGATGAACGGGGGGATAGTACTCTGCGTGTGCGTGAACGGAGAGTGAAGTCAAGAGCTCGCAGCCACACCTTGCCGGACGGACGAAGTAATAGTATTATCAGTGAAGGGGAAGAGGAAGTACTGCTAGAGTGCAGAGGAGATCTGTTCTCGTTTCCATATCCATCGTTCCGAAGTTCGAAGGAAGGCACTTCTAAAAGTAGGATGAGATATTATGTGGGCTCGTCCTTCGCGGCTTCAGGCTTTTATATAGTCCTGCAAGCGGGACTGTGCCTCGCTTATCCGTTGGTAAATGACTTTTCCTTCCACTACAAATACTGCAGTCCATTGAATTGCGCAGGACTTTTGCAGGCACAAATCAGCTCGTACCTTTTATCGTTCCTCGCTTATTTATGGTGTTACGCCAATCTCCAAGTGTCGTTGCATGATAGACAGCCGTTCTCGCCATTTCAACCCGCGGACCAGGAGGCGGAACATGCCGGTCAAGTGCATGATGAGATCAAAATCACTTCAACCTCCCCTCAGTCCAGGTCAGCTTTGCCCTACTGGAAATGGGTATAATTGTTATCTGAGCCAAAGTGACCATTTTATTACAAGACATACATATTGTACCTCGATCTGCCGATATAGAAGGAGATTGCGCAAAAAGAGATCATCTTCCCTTTGCGACATACTCGGGTGGTGGCTCCTCCTCAACCACCTGAGAGTCCCGAAGCGCCGCCGCGGAAGTAGAATGTGCGGTACCAAGGAACGAGTTACCCCCTGTGCTCGTCGAGGTGAACATCGCGCTCATCTCCGACTGTTGCGGCACATGGCGCGGCGGAGGTCGCCTCTTTCTGCGCCCACATACGAGCGAGGCATAATGAAAAATCGGTCGGAGGAACGACGGAAGGGTGAGAGGGGAAATTGAACGAGCGGTCGGCGCTTGAATCAGCGAAGGAAGGGTTGCTCTGAGGCTGAGCGGCAGCGGAGGTCGTCGGAATTGAAGTCGGGGCCAACTGTGCCGTGGGCATCGGTTCCGGTGCTAAGAGTTCTCTTGCTCGTGCGCGGCGACGACGAACAATGAGACAGACGACAATTCCGATTGCGACGACGAAGCACTGCGCCAATCACGGCTCCTGCGATCGTTGCCGGCGCCCGGCGCCTTCGATGGGGTCGAGGAAGGCGTCGGGGACTGTTCCTGCGATGTCGACGATGTTGAAGTGGACGACGCGGTTATATTCATGTCGGAGGCGATGAAATAGGCGGTATTTGAGCAAGGGGGAAAGCGCGCTGGTTTTGGCTGTTTTCCGAAAACGCCGAACTGGCCGGGCCTATCCATTGTGCGCCATAGATATTGTCGCCGTTCGTTGCGAGGTCTATGACCGCGTTGAACTATCAATTATGATACTCAATGACGACGCCGCTGGTGAATATCCTGACGAACCTGCACAGAAATATAATCACGCAGAGTTTTACGAATATCGGGCGTCGTGACGTTGCGCACGTAGGCAGCGGTGAGGGCGCGCACGAGGATCGAATCTCCGTTCTTTCGGCTAGTTTTGAAACGAAAATGTATGAGTGGTGACCGCACAAAGAGTTAATCAGAATATACGAGCCTCCGTTGGTTATTATTCCTCCTGTGGTCTGCCACGACGGATTGGAAAGGACATTGGTGATGAGATCATTAAGCACGTTAAGTGTGATCACGAGAGATGGTCGTTGAATCTCACAAAGTCAGCGTCGACGGATCTTGCTTCTGCGAAGCGAGAACCGCCAGGCCCTCGATGAACAGCCCAGAATTAAACGTATTGACGCTGTCGTCGAGAACTTTGCATGAATTCATCCTGGCTTGCGGATATGATTTGCAGGACGAGGCCATTGGAATTGTACAAATGTGAGTGAATGAAGTTGGCCGATTCAGTGGCAGCATCCAGGTAGCTCGGGTTGGATGTAGCCCTCGGCTAACAGAGCAGATAGCCTAGAAGATAGCGTAAAGGGGAGACGTCGCGGTGACTGGAAATTACATACAGCATAAAATAACTATCACATGTTTGAGATACCATGAGACATGAAAACGGGAGATGGAACACACACCCAGTGGACATCGCCGCCACACTCGGATCTGGAGCGGTAGTAGTCTGGCGATCGATATCAGTGGCGCCGTCGGCTGCAATGCACGGAATGCTGACTGACCCAGAATGTCCCACCCGCCATTGTGGCTATCAAGAGCGGTGGGAAGGGCTCGGAAATCATATAATTGCCGCTCACCGTCATTACAAGAGCCCAGCACTGTGAAGTTCTTTCCTGACAAAGTTGTACCGGCCTGCGACAGCGTGAGGGATCGCCCGAACGACCACGATTGAATGGCGTATTGGAGAAACGTGGAGTTTTGGTACGCCAAAAGAGAGAATACCCAAAACCGGTGAGCAAGGAAAAAATAAAAATAACTATATGCACCGGTTATGCACCCTCAGGGAGTTGAACCCCGGACTCATCTTGTACTCCAATGGTATAATTCAAAGATGTGTGTTTCCGTACACCAAGGGCTGCTACACTGTAGTGAATCAGGGCCTAGTTGGGAGATGGGGAGGCAGGGCTCTGTATGCTTTAATTATTTAGACACAAGGGCTGTAATCAAGGAAAGAACTGAGTACCAATGACTGCTGATTCTGCATTTGTGGCATTCTCATCCTGAAGGCTGCATGCAGAATTTATGTGGTTGTGCTGGCAACTTGCAAAAAAACTGAACTGGCTAGCAGATGTGCCCTCGCAGAATTGAACCCCGGGTTTGTCTTGAATTCTGCTTTGCATATCAAGATCTGACCAAGGGTGCTTGCTACATGCACTGTGGTGGGTTGAGAAATTGGTGCGTCTGGGCTCAATGCCACTCGATGATTTGATTCAAACATCTGTAACCGTGCAATAATTTAAAATTACAGCTAATTGCAGTACCGAAGGCGCGGATCGAAAAATTGCCGTTTTGGGAATTTTTTGATTCTCGCGACCGATTTGCCCATATCTCGATGAGTTCTGCACGGATTCGGCTGAAATCTAGCTAGATAATTCGTACTAATTCATATGCAATTAATGATAGAGAAAGATCCTTCAGAATATCATATACTGTGCTTATTTACACTTGAGGCCATTGGAGCGATGAATCCCGACTAGCAAGCCCAGATCTTGTCTGAAGGAGCTTAACTTTGGCTAGGGTGGACTTTGATACTTGTAGGGAATTGTGATAGAGTCAAAAAACGGTCATAAATCAACATGCACCCTCGGGGACTCGAACCCCGGGTTCGTCTTGAATTCCGTCTCACCTACAAAGAAGACGTAAGACGTGTGTTACCATACACCAAGGGCGCATATCAACTGGTAGGTATGGTCCACTAAATTATACAGCAACTTCCAGGTACTTGCAAGGTCCCCTGTGCTTGCACTCCATCTGTGTTCTAGGTAGATAGATAGATTAAAAAATGGCTGTTCTTTCAATCCATTCCGCTGTCCTGCAAGGAAAGAAAAAAGCATGGATACATTATGTAGATGGAGGCAATGCCAAAGTCGGAAAAAGAATCACCGCTAAAAGGGATCCGGGAGGGATATGCGCCCTCGGGGATTCGAACCCCGGACTCATCTTGATTAACCACATACAAGGATATAACAATTCAAAGATGTGTGTTTCCATACACCAAGGGTCCTTCCTATGCATACTTTAGCGGGCAGATATCATGATCAACTGAACTGCTCAGGTGGGCCACGTAGATAAATTACACTCCAACTTAAAGTTAGGGGTGCCCACCCAATGTTGCAAGGTCCCAGACTGCATCTACGCTTCATCCATTTTGTTCTAGACAGATTGGTTAATTGAAAAATGGCTGTTCTGTCCATTCCATTCCGCTCTCAAAAAAAGTACTAGTCGGATGGCAAACAAAGTCGGAAAAACAGAGCTCCAGGCAATGCACCCTCGGGGATTTGAACCGGGACTCATTTTGATTGACCACAGAGAGTACATAAATTCAAAGATGTGTGTTTCCATACACTAAGGGTGCTTAGTACCTCTGTTGTAGTGAACATATATCAACCGATGGTTCCGCTACATTGTACTCCGAGTTATAGGCGCCCACCTAACTTTGCAAGGCTAGATAGATATAGATAGATAGATTAAATGATGGCTGTTCCTTCAATCCATTCCGCTGTCCTGCAAGGAAAGAAAAAAGCATGGATACATTATGTAGATGGAGGCAATAATGCTGGAGTCGGAAAAAGAATCACCGCTAAAAGGGATGTGAAAGGGCAATGCACCCTCGGGATTCGAACCCCGGACTCATCTTGATTCACATCAACATCATCAATTCAAAGATGTGTTTCCATACACCAAGGGTGCTTAGTACCTCTATTGTAGTGGACATATATCAACCAATGGTTCCGCTGCATTATACTCCGAGTTATAGCCCCCCCCCCAGCTTTGCAAGGTCCTGAGTTTGGAGCCTAGATAGATAGTTTGAAAAATGTCTGTTCGTTCCATTCCGCCCTCAAAAAAAGTCGGACGGCAAACACCAAAGGCGGAAAAATAGAACCCCAGCCAAAAGGCTCAGCCACAAAAGCCATGCACCCTCGGGGATTTGAACCCCAGACTCATCTTGATTAACCAGATACAGGAATATATTAATTCAAAGATGTGTGTTTCCATACACCATGGGTGCTTCTATGCATGCTGTAGCGGGCAGATATTATGATCAACTGAACTGCTCAGGCGGGCCACATAGATACTTAAATTACATTCCAACCTAGGGGTGCCCACCCAATGTTGCCAGGTCCCCTCCTGTCAGGGGAACCCCCGCTTCGGACGGTTTTCCATCCGGACCCAATCCGGATGCTCTGGATGCTTCGGGCGCTTCGGGCGCTTCTCCGGATGGTTTTCCGCCCGGCGCTCCGGACACTTCTGCGCCCTTCTATCTGACCGCCAAACCACCCGGGACATCCGTCCGCTCTCGTTGGCACGTGCTGTGTGATCAGGCCCGCGATCATTCTAGATACCTCCGGACACGTGCTACTGGGTAGTTACCAACTAGTATATAAGGTTTCGCCTAGTGTGGGAATCCTCATCCTTTCTTCTCTTCGGATTCCCCCGCTAGGTGCGTAGTATTTCCGCTCCTGTATTGTAGTACCTATATTTATTCTTCGGATTCCCCCACTAGTTTCCGCGCCCTGCGCCGAGCTTAAGGTTGCCCTTACACCTCCCTGAATCTGGTTTTGTTCTAGATTGATTGGCTGTTCCTTCCATTCTGCCCTCAAAAAAAGAAAAGTCGGACAACGACAAACACCAAAGTCGGAAAAACTTTTAAACATGACCCCAGCCAAAAGACTTCGACGAGGGAAGGATGCACCCTCGGGGATTCAAACCCCGGACTCATCTTGATTAGTTAGACATCGAATAAACAACAGCTGTAAGATGTGTGTTTCCATACACCAAGGGTGCTTGGTATACTGTATTAGTGGGTGTGGAAGTTGGGGGCTTTGTATGATTTGATTCAAACATCTGTAACTGTGCAATAAATTAATGAACTACCAACTGGGTCCCGCAAATATCCGAGTAGTTAGAAGTTTCTACCAGCCAACAAGACAATAGCACCCAAAACCAAAACCAACAATAAGGGGGAAGAAAAAAACGGTCATAAATCAACATGCACCCTCGGGGACTCGAACCCCGGGTTCGTCTTGAATTCTGCTGTGCCGACCCAGGAGACATAAGACGTGTGTTGCCATACACCAAGGGCACATATTGACTGCACTGCTTGGTAGGTACGGTCCGCTAAATTATACAGCAACTTACGGGTGTGTTGCAAGGTCCTCTGTGTTTGCACTCCTGTCCTGTTGAATCTAGATAAATAGATAGATTGAAAAATGGAGGTTCCTTCCATTCTGCTGTCCTGCAAGGAAAGGAAAAAGCATGGATTCATAGATGGAAGCAATGCCGAAGTCGGAAAAAGAATCACTGCTAAAAGGGATCCGGGAGGGATATGCACCCTCGGGGATTCAAACCCCGGACTCATTTTGATTGCCCACAGAGAGTATACAAATTCAAAGATGTGTGTTTCCATACACCAAGGGTGCTTCCTATGCATACTGTAGCGGGCAGATATCAACTGAACTGCTCAGGTGGGTCATGTAGATAAAGTACACTCCAACTTCGGGGTGCCCACCCAATGTTGCAAGGTCCCCCGCACCTGCACTGCATCCATTTTGTTCTGATTAAAAAATGGCTGTTCCTTCCATTCCGCTCTCAGGACGGCAAACACCAAAGTCGGGAAAACAGAACCCCGGCCAAAAGACTTGGCGACGAAATGGAAAGGGAAGTGCACTCTCGGGGATTTGAACCCCGGACTCATCTTAATTGATTCGACTGGGACATGGAACTGTAAGATGTGTGTTTCCATACACCAAGGGTGCTTTGTACCTCTGTTGTAGTGGATATATATCAACCGATGGTTCCGCTACATTATACTCCGAGTTATAGGCGCCCACCCAACTTTGCAAGGCTAGATAGATATAGATAGATAGATTGCTGTTCCTACCATTCCATTCCGCTCTCAAAAAAAGAGTACTAGTCGGACGGTGCCGGCAAACACCAAAGTCGGAAAAACAGAACCCCAGCCAAAAGACTTGGCCGCGAAGGGAAATAGAAATGCACCCTCGGGGATTTGAACCCCGGACTCATCTTGATCAGGCGGACATGCGATACGCACATAATCGTAAGATGTCTATTGTAGTGGACAGGTATCAACCGATGGTTCCGCTACATTATACCCCGAGTTATAGGTGCCCACCCAACTTTGCAAGGTCCTGCCTAGATAAATATAGAGTAGATAGATAGATTAAACAATGGCTGTTCCTTCCGTTCGGCTGTCTTGCGAGGAAAGAAAAAAGATAGCGTCGGCGACTCGGCAAAGTAGAATCACCGCCAAAAAATCATAACCGCACATACGCCCTCGGGGAGTCGAACCCCGGACTCGTCTTGAAGTAATTGCTCGAGAAAAATGTACCATTAAGACGGGTGTTACCGTACACCAAGGGCGCGATACCGAGATGGTGAGGAAGCGTGTTTGGAGAATGAATATTCGTATTCGCGACCCTTTCTCCGCCGACTCCACCGACCCTGCTCGGGATACGTAACACGATCCCTGTCACGCAGCAGTGGTCAGTGCCTGAACTGTCCAGTAGATAGATGAACCACCAAGTGGGTATGCAAATATCCGACTAGTCAGGTGTTTCTGCCGACCCACCCTCACCAAACAGAGAATACCCAAAACCGGTTAGCAAGGAAAAACTATATGCACCCTCAGGGAGTCGAACCCCGGACTCATCTTGTAGCATCGAGAAGGGATAATGGAAAGATGTGTATTTCCGTACACCAAGGGCACTTGCTACACTGTAGTGAGTCAGGAAGTTGGGAGATGGGGAGGTGGGCTCTGTATGCTTTAATTATTTAGACCTAAGTGCTGTAATCAAAGAAAAAACTACCAACGACTGCCAATTCTGCATTTGCAACGTCATTCTCATCCTGAAGGCTGCATGCAGAATTTGTGTGGTTGTGCTGGCAACTTGCAAAAAAAAACTGGAACTGGCTAGCGGATGTGCCCTCAGAGAATTGAACCCCGGATTCATCTTGAATTCTGCTTTGCATATCAAGAGTTCGAAGACCAAGGGTGCTTGCTACATCTACTGTGGTGGGTTGAGGAGTTGGTGAGTCTGGGCTCAATGCTCGATGTTTTGATTCAAACATCTGTAACCATGCAATGAATTAATGAGCTAATAACCGGGTCCCGCAAATATCCAACTAGTTAGATGTTTCTACCAGCCAACAAGACACTAGCACCCAAAACCAAAACCAACGAGAAGGGAAAAGAAAAAAGGTGCTCAAATACATAATGCACCCTCGGGGACTCGAACCCCGGGTTTGTCTTGAATTCTGCTGTGCCGACCCAGGAGACATAAGATGAGTGTTGCCATACACCAAGGGCACATATTGACTGGAGGTATGGTCCACAGCAACTTACGGGTGCTTGCAAGGTCCCCTGTCTGCACTCCATGAATAGATAGATTGATTAAAAAATGGCTGTTCCTTCAATCCATTCCGCTGTCCTGCAAGGAAAGAAAAAAGCATGGATACATTATGTAGATGGAGGCAATGTAGATGGAGGCAATGCCGAAGTCGGAAAAAGAATCACCGCTAAAACGGGTCTCAAATACGAATGCGCCCTCGGGGATTCGAACCCCGGACTCATTTTGATTGCCCACAGAGAGTACATAAATTCAAAGATGTATGTTTCCATAATGTACACCAAGATGCATACTGTAGCGGGCAGATATCATGATCAACTGAACTGCTCAGTAGATAATTTACACTCCAACTTAAAGTTAGGGGTGCCCACCCGATGTTGCAAGGTCCCAGACTGACATCTGCACTTCATCTGTTTTGTTCTAGATACTAAGATAGATTGGCTGTTCCTTCCATTCCGCTCTCAAAAAAAAAAGTCGGATGGGAAACACCAAAGTCGGAAAAACAAAAAACAGAACCCCAGCCAAAAGACTCCCATGAACGCCATGCACCCTCGGGGATTCGAACCCCGGACTCATCTTGATTGGTGAAAGATCAAGAACGAATTAATTCAAAGACGTGTGTTTCCATAATGTAAACCAAGGGTGCTTCCTATGCATACTGTAGCGGGCAGATATCGATATCAACTGAACTGCTCAGGTGGGCCACGGAGATAAATTACACTCCAACTTAAAGTTAGGGGTGCCCACCCAATGTTGCAAGGTCCCTCACATCTGCACTTCATCCTAGATAGATTGGTTGAAAAATGGCTGTTCCTCCCAAAAACAAGCCGGACGGCAAACACCAAAGTCGGAAAAACTTTAAAACAGAACCCCAGCCAAAAGACTTACACATGAAGAGAACATGCACCCTCGGGGATTCGAACCCCGTGCTCATCTTGATTAGTTGGGCGTCGAATACGAACAACAATTGTAAGATGTGTGTTTCCATACACCAAGGGTGCTCAATACCTCTATTGTAGTGGACATATATCAATCTATGGTTCCGCTACATTATACTTCGAGTTATAGGCGCCGACATAACTAGCTCGGGGCCTAGATGGATATAGATAGATTGAAATTGCTGTTCCGGCTGTCCTGCGAGGAAAGAAAAAAGATAGATGAAGGCAGGCAATAAGTATCAAAGTCGGCGACTCGGAAAAGTAGAATCGCCACCAAAAGAAACCATAATCAGAAATGCCTATATGCCCTCGGGAGTCGAACCCCGGACTCGTCTTGAATTAAGTGCCCGGTGGCTGCAGTGAACCATGAGGACGGGTGTTACCATACACCAAGGGTGCAATACCGAGATGGTGGGATGTAGAGGAATCGCCCTCAATACACATTTGGAGAATCACCCCGGCGGGATCTCGAGGAAGCGAATGAATATTTGTATTCATCCCTTTCTCCGCCGACTCTGCCAACCCGACCCTGCTCGGGATACGTAACACGATCCCTGTCGCGCAGCAGTGGTCAGCGCCTGAACCGTCCAGTAGATAGATGCACCACCAAGTGGGTACTGCAAATATCCGACTAGTCAGGTGTTTCTGCCGACCCACCCTCACCAAACAGAGAATACCCAAAACCGGTTAGCAAGGAAAAAATAAAAAACTATATGCACCCTCAGGGAGTCGAACCCCGGATTCATCTTGTATGGAGAATCAAGGGGTAATTGAAAGATGTGTGTTTTCCGTACACCAAGGGCACTTGTGAGTCAGGAAGTTGGGAGATGGGGAGGTGGGCTCTGTATGCTTTAATTATTTAGACCTAAGTGCTGTAATCAAAGAAAAACTACCAACGAATGCCAATTCTGCATTAACGAATGCCAATTCTGCATTTTCTCATCCTGAAGGCTGCATGCAGAATTTGTGTGGTTGTGCTGGCAACTTGCAAAAAAAAACTGGAACTGGCTAGCGGATGTGCCCTCGGGGAATTGAACCCCGGGATCATCTTCAATGAATTCTGCTTTGCATATCAAGAAGACCAAGGGTGCTTGCTACATCTACTGTGGTGGGTTGAGAAGTTCGATGTTTTGATTCAAACATCTGTAACCGTGCAATAAATTAATGAACTACCATCTGGGTCCTGCAAATATCCGACTAGTTCGATGTTTCAGCACCCAAAACCAAAACCACAACCAACGAGGAGGGAAAAGAAAAAAACGGTCATAAAACAACATGCACCCTCGGGGACTCAAACCCCGGGTTCGTCTCGAATCCTTCTTTGCGACGAAACAGACGTAAGACGTGTTACCGTACACCGAGGGCACATATCGACTGGACTGCTTGGTAGGTATGGTCCGCAAAATTATACAGTGCTTGTAAGGTCTCTGTGTTTGCACTTCATCCGATTGAAAAATGGCTGTTCCTTCCATTCCGCTCTCAAAAATAAGTCGGACGACGGCAAACACCAAAGTCGGAAAAACAAAAAACAGAACCCCAGCCAAAAGACTCAGCCACGAACGCCATGCACCCTCGGGGATTCAAACCCCGGACTCGTCTTGATTAACCAATACAAGAATATATTAATTCAAAGATGTGTGTTTCCATACACCATGGGTGCTTCCTCTGCATACTGGAGCAGGCAGATACCAACATCAACTGAACTGCTCAGTAGTTAAATTACACTCTGATGTGCACCCGATGTTGCAAGGTCCCCTCCTTGCATCTGCACTTCATCCGTTTTGTTCTAGATAGATTGGTTAATTCAAAAATGGGGGTTCGCTCTCAAAAAAGTACTAGTCGGACGGCAAACACCAAAGTCGGAAAAACTTTAAAACAGAACCCCAGCCAAAAGACCTGCCAACAAAGGAGGGATGCATCCTCGGGGATTCGAACCCCAGACTCATCTTGATTAACCAGATACAAGAATATATCAATTCAAAGATGTGTGCTTCCATAATGCACACCAAGAGTGCTTCCTATGCATGCTGTAGCAGGCAGATATCAACTGACCTGCTCAGTAGATAAATTACACTCCGACTTAGAGGTGCCCACCCGGTGTTGCAAGTTCCCCTCCCTGCATCTGCATTTCATCTGTTTTGTTCTAGATAGATTGGCTGTTCCTCCCATTCCGCTCTCAAAAATAAAAGTCGGACGGCAAATACTGAAGTCGGACAAACAGAACCCCGGCCAAAAGACTTGCAGAAGGAAGGATGCACCCTCGGGGATTTGAACCCCGGACTCATCTTGATTAGTGAAATCCAAGAGTACATCAACTCAAAGATGTGTGTTTCCTTAATGTACACCAAGGGTGCTTCCTATGCATTCTGTAGCGGGCAGATATCAACTGACCTGCTCAGTAGATAAATTACACTCTAACTTAGGGGTCACCCAATGTTGCAAGGTCCCAGACTGCATCTGCACTTCATCCGTTTTGTTCTAGATAGATTGGCTGTTCCTTCCATCCCATTCCGCTCTCAAAAAAACAGTCGGACGGCAAACACCAAAGTCAGAAAAACTTTAAAACAGAACCCCAGCCAAAAGACTTGCCGATGAAGGAAGGATGCACCCTCGGGGATTCAAACCCCGGACTCATCTTGATTAGGCAGATATTGAGTACAAAACTGTACGATGTGTGTTTCCATACACCAAGGGTGCTTAGTACCTCTATTGTAGTGGACATATATCAACCGATGGTTCCGCTACATTATACTCCGAGTTATAGGCGCCCACTTTGCAAGGTCCCGATAGATATAGATAGATAGATTAAAAAACGGCTGTTCGTTCCATTCGGCTGTCTGCAAGGAAAGAAGAAAAAAGATTATGGCAATACCAAAGTCGGCGACTCGGAAAAGTCGAATCGCCGTCAAAAGAAGCGACCACTCCAAGACACACATACGCCCTCGGGAGTCGAACCCGGACTCGTCTTGAATTGATTCGAACCCCGGACTCATCTTGATTAGTTGGGAATTGTACAGGTATCAACTGTAAGATGTGTGTTTCCATACACCAAAGGTGCTTAGTACCTCTGTTGTAGTGGACATATATCAAACCGATGGTTCCGCTACATTATACTCCGAGTTATAGGCGCCCTTGGGGCCTAGATAGATATAGATAGATAGATTAAAATGGCTGTTCCTTCCCCGCAAGGAAACCAAAAAGATTATGGCAATATCAAAGTCAGTGACTCGGAAAAGTAGAACCGCCACCAAAACAAATCAACGCGCACTGCAACATACGCCCTCGGGGAGTCGAACCCCGGACTCGTCTTGAATTGAGTACCTTGTGAGCCATGATACCATGAAGACGTGTGTTACCGTACACCAAGGGCACATATTGACTGGACTGTATGGTCCACTAAATTATACAGCAACTTACAGGTGCTTGTGAGGTCCCCTACATCTGCACACCATCTGTTCTGTTGTTCTAGATAGATAGATAGATTGATTGATTGATTGAAAATCCAGGCTGCTCCTTCCGCCCTGAAAAAAAATCAAGTCGGACGGCAAACGGCGAACACCAAAGTCGGAAAAACAGAACCCCAGCCAAAAGACTTAGGCACAAGAAGGAAACGCACCCTCGGGGAGTCGAACCCCGGACTCATCTTGATTGCTTGAGTAATATCGGTGAAATGACAACTGTAAGACGTGTGTTTCCATACACCAAGGGTGCTTACTAGTGGACGTATATCAACTGATGGCTCCGCTACATTACACTCCGAGTTATAGGCGCCCACCCAACTTTGCAAGGTCCTGATAGATATAGATAGATAGATTAAAAAACAGCTGTCCTGCAAGGAAAGAAAAAAAATAGATCAAGGCAGGCAATGCCAAAGTCGGCGACTCGGAAAAGTAGAATCGCCGCCAAAACAAATAAATGCGCTACAACATACGCCCTCGGGGAGTCGAACCCCGGACTCGTCTTGAACTAGGTACCTGGATAATCATGAGATGGTACCATGAAGACGTGTGTTACCGTACACCAAGGGCACATCTTGACTAGACCGCTCGGTAGGTATGGTCTGCTAAATTATACAGCAACTTACCTTGTCTTGAATTCTGCTTTGCATATCAAGAAGATCTGACCAAGGGTGCTTGCTACTAGAGTGCTGTGGTGGGTTGTGCAGTTGGTGAATGCTCGATGGTTTGATTTGAACACCTGTAACCGTGCAATAAAGTAACAAACTACCAACTGGGACCCGCAAATATCCGACTAGTTAGATGTTTCAGCACCCAAAACCAAAACCAAAACCAACGAGAAGGGAAAAGAAGAAAAAAGTGATCGTGGATGCGTGATGCACCCTCGGGGAATCGAACCCCGGACTCGCCTCGAATCCCTCTTTGCGACAAAGCAGATGTAAGACGTGTGTTACCGTACACCATGGGCACATATTGGCTGAACTGCTTGGTAGGTATAGTCCGCTGAATTATACAGCGACTTACGGGTGCTTGGGAGGTCCCAGACTGCATCTGCACTCCATCTGTCCTGTTTGTTCTAGATTGATAGATAGATTGATTGATTGAAAAATGGTCCTGGCTGTTCCTTCCGCGCTCAAAAAAAGTCGGACGGCAACAGTGAACACCAAAGTCGGAAAAACAGAACCCTAGCCAAAAGATTCGGACGGACGGATGCACCCTCGGGGATTCGAACCCCGGACTCATCTTGATTAGTGAAATCCAAGACAAGAGTACATCAACTCAAGATGTGTGTTTCCATAATGTACACCAAGGGTGGCTTCCTACTACGCATACTGGAGCAGGTAGATATCCGATCTGAACTGACCTGCTCGGTAGATAAATTACACTCCAACTTAGGGGTGCCCACCCGATGTTGCAAGGTCCCCTCCCTGCATCTGCACTTCATCCACTTTGCTCTAGATAGATTGATTGAAAAACGGCTGTTCCTCTCTAAAAAAGCTGGACGGCAAACACCAAAGTCGGAAAAACTTTAAAACAGAACCCCAGCCGAAAGACTTGCCGAAAAAGGAGGGATGCACCCTCGGGGATTTGAGCCCCGGACTCATCTTGATTAGTTGGGAATTGTACAGATATTGACTAGACTGCTCGGTAAGTATGGTCCGTTAAATTATACAGCAACCTACCTTGTCTTGAATTCTGCTTTGCATATCAAGAAAACCAAGGGTACTTGCTACATCTAGAGTGCTGTGGTGGATTGTGAAGTTGGTGAATGCTCGATGTTTTGGTTTAAACATCTGTAACCGTGCAATAATTTTAAAATTAATGAACAGCTACCAACTGGGTCCCACAAATATCCGACTAGTTAGATGTTTCTACCAGCCATCAAGACAATAGCACCTAAAACCAAAACCAACGAGAAGGGAAAATAAACAAAAAGGTGCTGAAATATATAATGCACCCTCGGGGACTCGAACCCTGGGTTCGTCTCGAATCCTTCTTTGCAACGAAACAGACGTAAGATGTGTGTTACCATACACCAAGTGCACATATCAACTGAAGTGCTTGGTAGGTATGGACCGCTGAATCATACAGCGACTTACAGGTGCTTGCGAGGGTCCCCTACATCTGCACTCTATCTGTCCTGTTGTTCTAGATAGATTGATTGATTGATTGGTTGAAAAATCCAGGCTGTTCTCAAAAAAAGTACTAGTCGGACGACGGCAAACACCAAAGTCGGAAAAAACAGAACCCCGGCCAAAAGACTTAGGCACAAGAAGGAAATGCACCCCCGGGGATTCGAACCCCGGACTCATCTTGATTAACCAGATACAGTGTTACGTCAATTCAAAGAAGTGTGTTTCCATAATGTACACCAAGGGTGCTTCCTGTGCATGCTGTAGCGGGCAGATATCAATATAAACTGACCTGCTCAGGTGCCGTGGGCCACGTAGATAAGTTGCACTCCAACCTAGGGGTGCCCACCTGATGTTGCAAGGTCCCACCCAGACTGCATCTGCATTTCAACCGTTTTGTTCTAGATAGATTGGCTGTTTCTTCCATTCCACTCTCAAAAAAAAAGTCGGACAGCGACCTCAAACACCAAAGTCGGAAAAACAGAACCCCAGCCAAAAGACTTGGCAGTGAGGGGGGATGCACCCTCGGGGATTCGAACCCCGGACTCATCTTGATTAGTGAAATCCAAGACAAGAGTACATCAACTCAAAGATGTGTGTTTCCATAATGTACACCAAGGGTGCTTCCTATGCATACTGTAGCGAGCAGATATCATGATCAACTAAACTGTTCAGGTGGCCACGTAGATAACTTGCACTCCAACTTAGGGGTGCCCACCCAATGTTGCAAGGTCCCACCCAGACTGCATCTGCATTTCATCCGTTTTGTTCTAGATAGATTGGCTGTTTCCTTGCATTCCGCTCTCAAAAAAAGTTGGACAGCAAGGCAAACACCAAAATCGGAAAAACAGAACCCCGGCCAAAAAGCTTGCCGAAGGACAAGATTGCCCCCTCGGGATTCGAACCCCGGACTCATCTTGACCATTTGGACCTGTGGACACATCGAAGAAGTGTGTTTCCATACACCAAGGGTGCTTACTAGTGGACATATATCAAACCGATGGCTCCGCTACATTATACTTCCGACTTATAGGCGCCCATCCAACTAGATATAGATAGATAGATTAAAAATGGCTGTTCGGCCGTCCTGCAAGGAAGCAATAAAGATTATGGCAATATCAAAGTCCGCGACTCAGAAAAAATAGAATCGCTTGCCAAAACAAAATCAATGCACTACAACATACGCCCTCGGGGAGTCGAGCCCCGGACTCGTCTTGAATTAGGTACCTGAATAACCATGAGATGATACCATGAAGACGTGTGTTATCGTACACCAAGGGCACATATTGTCTAGACCGCTCGGTAGGTATGGTCCGCTAAATTACACAGCAACTTACGTTGTCTTGACTTCTGCTTTGCATATCAAGAAGATCTGACCAAGGGTGCTTGCTACATCTAGAGTGCTGTGGTGGGTTGAGAAGTTGGTGAATGCTCGTTGTTTTGATTCAAACATCTGTAACCGTGCAATAAATTAAAATTAATGAACAACTACCGACTGGGTCCCGCAAATATCTGGCTAGTTGGATGGTTCTACCAGTCAGCAAGACATAGCACCCAAAACCCAAACCCAAACCAACGAGAAGGGAAAAGAACAAAAAAGTGGTCGTGAATGCATAATGCACCCTCGGGGACTCGAACCCCGGACTCGCCTCAAATCTTTCTTTGCAACCGAGCAGATGTAAGACGTGTGTTACCGTACACCAAGGGCGCATATTGATTGGTAGGTATTGTCCGCTGAATCATACAGCAGCTTGCAAGGTCCCCTGTGTTTACACTCCATCTGCCATAGATAGATAGATTGATAAAAAAAAACGGCTGTTCCTTCAATCCATTTCGCTGTCCTGCCAGGAAAGAAAAAAGCAGGGATACATTATGTATACTAGATGGAGGCAATGCCAAAGTCGCAAAAAGAATCACCGCTAAAAGGAATCGGGGAGGGAAATGCACCCTCGGGGATTTGAACCCCGGACTCATCTTGATTGAGCTCAGAGAGTAGATAAATTCAAAGATGTGTGTTTCCATACACCAAGGGGTGCTTCCTATGCATACTGTAGCAGGCAGATATCATGATCAACTAAACTGTTCAGGTGGCCACGTAGATAACTTGCACTCCAACTTAGGGGTGCCCACCCAATGTTGCAAGGCCCCAGACTGCATCTACACTTTATCCATTTTGTTCTAGATAGATTGGCTGTTCCTTCCATTCTGCTCTCAACAAAAAGTACTGGTCGGACGACGGCAAACACCAAGGCGGAAAAATGAAAAACAGAACCCCGGCCAAAAACTTAGGCACAAGAAGGAAACGCACCCTCGGGGATTCGAACCCCGTACTCATCCTGAGTGATCATCTCAGAAACAACTCTCAGATGTGTGTTCCCATACACCAAGGGTGCTTATTAGTACCTCTTGTAGTGGACAATGGTTCCGCTACATTATACTCCGAGTTATAGGCGCCCGCCCAACTAGATAGATATAGATAGATAGATTAAAAAATGGCTGTCCTGCAAGGGAAGAAGAAAAAAGATTATGGCAATACCAAAGTCGGCGACTCGGAAAAGTAGAATCGCCGGCAAAAGCAGTGACACTTCAAACATACGCCCTCGGGGAGTCGAACCCCGGACTCGTCTTGAATTATTACCAGTGTCCAACACTACCATGCATGAAGACGGGTGTTACCGTACACCAAGGGCGCGATACCGAAATGGTGGGGATGTCGAGGAAGCGAATACTCGTATTCGCACCCGTTCTCCGCCGACGCGCCGACCCTGCTCGGGATACGTTACGCGAGATCCCCGTCGCGCAGCGGCGATCAGCGCGCGGCTTAATCCCGACTATATCCGCGCGCCAAACCGCGGGGAGGTGGCCGGCGCTCTTACGAAGCGCGGGCTTGGTAATGCGCCCGTGCTGTCGGGTGAGAGTACCACGTTGCTGGCGGGACACGCGTCCATCAGAAGGAGGGTGTGTGGCCGCGTGGGGGACGGACCCCGGGGAGCGCGGCGCTTCTGTTGATGGTGGGTGGGTTTGGTTTGCGCGGGGAGGGTTGGATACCTTGTAATTTGAGGATATTGCAGTCGAGTGGAGGGGCAGCAACGGGGGGGTCGCGGTCGGATCTGCAGAGCAC